GGCAAAAACAAGACTAGGGGGGAGGGGTTATATTTACTCTGAAATAACCTCAGTTTGGCCAGCACAGTGGTTGTTAGCACTGTCAGTGCACACTAGGTACTGAGTTCCAGTACAGCCTGGGGGCCTTGTGACTTTGCATGTTCTGCCCATTTGTGGTAGAGATGGGTGGAACGATCCAAATGTCGATAGTATCGGACTGATACTAGTGCTATAAGATCGATACTTGGTTTCTGTCCTCTAAGTCAGTGGTCCCCAACCTGTTTTGCGCCACGGCCCGACAATATTTTCACGGACTGGCCTTTAAGGTGTCGTGGATAAAGACAACAAAATAAAACTAGTACCGGTACCGAAAAAAAGAAGATTTATTCATAACACACGTGAAAAGACCCAGGAAAACCGAGTTAACGAAAAAAAAAAACGATACCAACCCTGAAAACCATACATTTCACACCAAAGTCTCAACTCTCGCGGCCCGGTACCAAATGACTCACAGACCAGTAGCCGTCCGTGGCCCGGGGGTTGGGGACTGCTGCTCTAAGTTCAGCATGCAGCCCACTAAATGAAATGAAATGGGGGTTTTTTATGAAAAATATCAAAATATACTTCTGTACCAAATGCAAAAAAACCCCCAAAAAACGGCTGTGTATAAAAATATGTGGACAGCCATGTCTATTTTGTATAACCTATAGCAAATTTCAATTGCAAAAGCTGACCCAAAGCCTGGAGCCCGTCTGAGTTTGCATGTTCTCCATGTGTCTGCATGAGCTCTCTCCGGGTACGTCGGCTTCTTTCCACAGTCCAAAGAAAAGTGTGGGATCAGGCTAATCGGTGATTCTACATTGCCTGTAGGTGTGAATGTAAGTGTCAGTGTTTGTCTGCCTTTCTGTGTTAGGGCCCAATAATAATATCCTGGTCAAAAACAATTCCAAGATTTCTCACACTATTACTGTACACATAGTTGAGATGACTGTGTCTACATGTTGAAGTCCAAAGTGAGCATCAGAATGATGAAGAAAGTTGATATAAGTCATTTTGAATCTGTCACAGTGGTTGATGACAGACGGGTTGGTCTGAGTGTTTCAGAAACTGCTGAACTACTGGGATTGTCCCACACAACCATCTCTAGGGTTTACAGAGAATGGTCTGAAGAGAAAAAACCCCAGTGAGCAGCAGTTCTCTGGGTGAAAATGCCTTCTTGAGAAGTCAGAGGAGAATAGCTAGACTGCACCAAGCTGATAGGAAGGCAACAATAACTCAAACAACCATTTGTTATAAGCAAGCAATGAGGAAGAGAATCCTGAATGCACAAGACGCTGAACCTTGAAGCCGATGAGCTACAGCAGCAGAAGACCACACTGGGTGCCACTCCTAATAGCTAAAAACAGGAAACTGAAGCTACAATCCACACAGGCTCATCAAAATGAGACAATAGAAGATTGGAAAAGGGTTCACTGGTCTGATGAGTGTTTGAGCTACTGTGACATGCTGTAAGCAACCAGCATGTCACAGTTCAACCAGACTGCTGATTTCTGCTGCAGCATTCAGACGGTCGGATCAGAATTAGATGAAAACAACATAAAAGCGTAGATTCAATCTGCCTTGTTACAATGGCTCTGACTGCTGATGGTGTGATGGTGAGTGGGATATTTTCTTGCCACACTTTGGGTCCCTTAGTACCAAATGAGCATTGTTTAAATACCACAGTCTATTGTTGCTGATGATATCCATCCTTTTATCACCACAGTGTACCAGTGTACCCATCTTCTGATGGTTGCTTACCATCAGTAGCTCAAATCATCTCAAACACTTTTCTGTAACATGACAGTGAGTTCACTGTACTCAAATGGCCTCCAGATTTCAAGAGCACCGTTGGGATGTGGTGGAACTGGAGATTCACATCATGGATGAGCAGTTCAAAACCTGCAGCAACTGTGTGACGCTGTCATGTCAGCATGGCCCAAAATGTCAGAGGAATGCTTCCAACACCTTGTTGAATTTATGCCACAAAGAAATAATGCAGTCCTGAAGACAACCCAGTGTTAGCAAAGTGACTGATCAGTGCATATCTCTTTAGTATTACAGCTGCTGCTGATTTGAATTTCTTATATATTTGCTGGAAAGCTTGATCTGTGGGAATGCATTTTGTCAGCAATAAAATAAGTATGGATACTTTCAGCTGTTCCCTTATTTCCAGTGTGGTTGCCACAGCAGATGGATCCTCATGCTTGAGTTGGCACAGATTTGACACTGGATGTCCTTCCTGAAGGAACCCTCCCATTTATCTAGGCTTGGGACTGGCACTAGGAATACAATAGTTTGCGATCCACTGACGCTGAGTTTTGTGTCTATTTCCAGCCTCGAAATGCAGATCTTTTGCATATAAGGTGAATGTGTTAACCATTAAAGCTTTACAAAAATGGTACGGAATACAAACTACAATATTTGCACCCAAAATTTAGTAGAGTAAAAGCAGAAAGCAAAACACAGAAATACTTAAATAAAATACAAGTACATTAAACCTGTCCTACAGTAAAGTAATAATTTTTTTTTACTTAGTTACAATCTTACTGGTTCTATCCATGCTCTAATCCAGTGGTTAGATTAATGGAACTGTAGTACAATGATATTGTTTGGAGGAGGGGCTCTGCAGGGGCCAATCATATCGGGGAGGTATGCGATACTGCAAATTTCAATAACAATCCAATACCAAGTAATCCAGGTCCAGTATTGCTGATACAAATACTGATACTTTTAAAATGTAAAGGTAGCTTATGGAGGGCAGAGCAGCGTGTCATGAGTTATGAAACCACATACCCCCTCTTCAGACATGCCATTGCTGCACCATATTTATTAACAATTCATCAACACAATTCATCCTGGGTCTGCCCCGAGGTCTCCTCCCTGTGGGACATACCCAGGAGGTATCCTTGTCAGATGCCCAAACCACCTCAACTGGCTCCTTTTGATGTGGAGGAGCAAGGGCACTATTCTGTGTCCCTCCTGGATGGCTAAACTTCTCACCATATCTCTAAGGGAGAGGCCAGGTACCCTTCAGAGGAAGCTCATTTTCGCCGCTTGTATCCCGTTCCCTCCGCGAATCGCTACCTTATCGTGGTGGAGGAGTTTGTGTG